CCCCCCCCCATTCCTTTGAGTGGAGCCAATGATAAATCATGCTAATATATAGAGAATTTTAATTCTCAAATATTCAAACTCTCCTTCTGCCCTCCTTTAGTCAACCATGTCCATGTCCACTCTGACTGGGTCTGGACGCGGCGGCCATCTTGACCTGTTGGACGTTGAGGTGTCGTAGTGAGCAGATTTATTAAAGTCTCATATTTGAAGCTGCAGTTTGGTGTTTCCCCGGCACCATATTGTCTGACTGCTCCCTCTCCGTCCTCCTCCACTTTGTGTGATTAATGAAACTGCGGGACAGACGAACAATGAAGTCTCTAGTGGCATATTGTGTTTTCAAAGACGGCCAGTAGTCGTGTGCCCCCCCTCACCCCCCCTCACCCCCCCGTGTGTTCCACCTCGTACAGAGAACCAACCGTTTTACGGCTCGATTTTCGGCTCGAAATCTGTCAAATCGACTCGGTTGTCGATTTGACAGATTTGATGTAAGTTAATAAAATTAATGTTGGTGATTAATTTCATCAACCCCCCCCCCTCCCCAGGGGTGTTGGAGCGAGTTTATTTCAACCTTCCTCCGAGCAGCTCCCCTTGGGCAACTGGGGGAAAGAATTAGAAGAATGCCTGCGTCTCCTAAGTCGCGTCAGATAAGGTTTGGTCTCTCAAAGAGGTTTTGTGTAATTTGGGTTCTGGTGTTTATTGTCCTCCAGGCTTAAACCCCGGGAAATCCTTGTTGTAACATTGTTTTAGATTTGTTTTATTTCTTTGTCTCCGCACGAACTCTTTCAAAGAGTCACTTCCCTGTTTGAATACTGAACATGCTGAGACTTTTTTCTTTTAAATGATCTTTAAACTCACCATAAGAAGGTAAACTTCTACACCTGAAGACGAGAGTCAGTCAGTCAGTTTGTGACAGAACGATTCCAGCTAAGTTGAAAGCAGAGGTTTGTAAGGCAGTAGTGAGACCTGCTATGACGTATGGTTGGTCCACGTGGCAGGAGAACGAGCTGGACGGATGGTGAGTGACCAGGTCGGAGCTGCAGTTAGAGAGCGCAGGTTTAGATGGTCAGACATCTGCTGAAGACACGTTGGATGATTTGGATGTTTGAGATGGAGCTGCTCCCCTGTGACCCTGATTAGGGTTTATAAAAGCCGTATAAAAATGTAATTAAAGTTTACAGACCTCACTGATGTCACATACCTCCCTGTGGTTTGTGTTTTGTAGCATTAGAGGTAAATGTTCTGTTACTAGTGGACTGGATTTAAAAGATAAGATATTACCATCTGAGTCCAATCAAACACGGCTCTAGATTTCTAAAGCAGTGATAATTATTAATCACAGTGTTGTAGTGGAAGTCCAGATTACAGCTTTGGTCATTAGACTTAAAAGAGAGCAGATGTTTGCAGCAAAAATCATTTTCAACTCTTCAGGGAGTTCCATCTGTGAACACTCGTTTGGTTTTCTGTAGGTTTGGAGGAAAATTAAAAAGATTATCAACAAATTCTGTTCTGTTGTTTTCTTCACCCTTTGTTGAGTAGTACGTTTTTTTTTAGCCTATAATGGGTTAAAATGTCCAGAGTCCGTTGTGTCACTACTACAGATCTTAAGATTTGTATGAAGATTGACCAAAGTTTCTTATAAGACTCAAATAGTGCGACATGTCTAAAGTAAAGAATTAAAAAGACCAAAAACCAAAACACCCTCTAACCCTGTCAGGTTCATCATCAGACACACACGGTTCTTGGTTGTTCTTCCGTGTTAAACAAAACCAGATTCATTTGTCTTTGGATGTAATGCTTGTCCAGATCTGGTCCCTCAGAATAATCATAATCACATTGGAAGGAAAATAGGATTTTAATCGGTCTCTGACATGAACTCCTCTGCTTTTTATAGCTTCATGTTGCTTTTGTTGAATCTAATTGGAAACAGAAACACAACCTGTGTGACTGCGTTTGGCTCCAAGTGTTTGTTCTGAAAAAGACATAATGGCTCATCATCAGCAGAGCTGAACATTTCTGACCTTTTCAGTGGAGTCTGAGTCATTGTGTGAATCTGTTGCCTCCCAGTAAGAAACCTAAAACCATCTGCCTCTACCTGCCAACGTCAGCGCCTCGGTGACGTTTGGTGACAGGTTGCCACCGCGCGGTGCCTGAGCTTAAACTAAGGTGAGAATTGGATGAGTCGGCAGAAAATTAGACGCTGGACGGAGATCGTTGTTGTCAACGTGGAGCAACAGACTCCGTTTGCCTTCATCACAGTGCAGGGGTTTGGATCGAAGCCTCTAACACCGCACTGTCTCTGCTGCAGGTGGTTCGATTCTCATTTTCCTGGGCCGTGTGAGGACACTTTACATGCAGCTCATTAGCATATCTGCCGTGTTATTGCTCACGGCAACCACGGTGGAGCGTGCAGGTTTGACCGCATTGTCAGGAAAAACCTGGAGGCAGAGGGAGGACCTGCAGCCCCAGCAGTGGTGGCGCTGTTCCCTCCGATCACTCATGTCCCTCATCGGTTTCAGCCACAGCATGTGTGCAGTCTGGACAGTTTATCCCTCACTACATGGTGTCAAATACCACGGCTGTCGTTCCATTGATCAGTCAGATGTGTCCGGAATATTTTGAAACGTGAACCGCAGCTAAATGTTGGCTCCATGTTTGTGTTGCACCTTTTATTTTCATAAAAAGTACCGGATAATTCTAGGCTTTTATGAGTTCTGTCAAATCTGCAGACGTGATTTTGTTTCTCAGACTGTTTATGTAACTGTAAAAAAAAAAAAAAACTCAAGTTCAGTGTTTACTTTTTGAACACATCACAGCTGCACAGTGGTTGATCGGCCCTCAAAAAACTCAAGTTCAGTTCAATGTTTACTTTTTGAACACAGCTGCACAGTGGTTGATCGGCCCTTGGTCTCAAAACCTTTGACATGAACGCTTCCTAAAGTTTTGACTTTTCTTTTTCTTTTTAAGACACAGCCATTTTTAAAGACTCTTTGACATTTCATGTTTCTCATAGAGGAATGTTTTCCCCCTTACATTTTTTTTTCTTTTCTTAAAAGACAAAAGAGAACTTCAGAATAGACACAACACCAGCTAACGTTCATAAGAAGGAATGGATTGATTTCTTACACCAACAGTGAGAAAGAATCCTGACATTCATTATTTAAAGTTTAAACTTTTATGGACTGGTGTCGGTCAGCTTTTATTTAGAGATTATTATTTTAAGAGTTAAAGTTAAAAACCATCTTCTTTGGACTTTGTGCCTCTTTTGTGACCTGGTAACAATCAGTTCAACCTATGTATGAATTATCAATTATCACATCATCATAGTGTGTTATTTTCACTGCTAAAATATTCAGTTGTCTCTTCAGGAAACCAGTATTTTCTCTTCAGTGAAGCCCGGTTTATAAAGAGGATTTCTGGTCTTTTTTTTTCTTTTTTTTTGTGCCACTGAATAACCAGGATGGAATTAACTCCACTCTGACACCGCTGCTGTATTTCTGCAGTACGTGTTATAGAAATTTGCATTTTATCCACTTAACCAGCGCTGATGTCCTCTCTCTCTGCTCAGCTACTTCATATTTCCTCCAATCACCTTCACTGTTACAGTAAGAACCATCTGAGCAGCCACGGCCAGAGGAAACCTCTTTGTAGGATATACATAAAGTATATAAACACACACACATGTGTAAATACGTCATGTCTCAAAACTCCACCATTTTGTCTTTTGCAGTGGTGAAGATCAGCAGACGTCCAGGCTGCGTTTCCCTCAGCAATAAGGTAAGAATCGAACCACGGTCGCAGGAAGAGAAATGTTGATGAAGAAGCTTCAGTTGACAAACGGCCGCGACTGTTTCTATCTGTAGTGTTAACTGTGTGTGTGTGTGTGTGTTTCTCTAATGAACTCACTTGTTCTGCTGTGGGCCTGAGTGAACAGACATTTTCCAGCTCAGTCCATTGAACCTGAAGCTAACACGGAGTATTTAGGCCTCGTCTGTGGTTCAATGAGAAGAAAGAACAAAAACAAACAGTTAATCAGTTTACGCTCAACAACAAACAAATGTTCGTCTCTCACTCGGCCGCTGTTTCCAGCTTCATCTCCTGCAGCGACGTGTTGATTAATCTAATGGACTTAAACCACGTCGACAATATTATCTGGTTTAAAATGTATTCAACTCCAATTTGAAATCATGGAAAACAACACATTTATACCTACGTATATACACTGCCTGGCCAAAAAAAAAAGTCGCCACCTGGATTTAACGAAGCAAATAGGTAGGAGCCTCCTATTGGATAATTACTGCCTGGGTGATTATCTTTCAGCTGGCAACAAGTTATTTAACCCCAACTGGTGCAATGAGTGTTTTCTCATTTCCTACAACAACCATGTGGACAGACACATCCCGTGGTCGTGGAAAAGATGTTAGTCTGTTTGAGAAGGGTCAAATCATTGGCATGCATCAAGCAGAGGAAACATCGAAGGAGATGCAGAAACTACTAACATTACACCCATGTTATTAAATTTTGATCCAGAGAAATAAACGTTGTTTGAGCTGAGATTCATCTCTCGTCCACACAGTGGGAGTGGGTTTCTTTGGATCTGAGCCCTGTCACTCCCACTCGGTACACTCTGGATTTTGTTACAGTGTTACAGTGAGTTGTTCCGCAGCACACTCACTGCTACACCGTGACAGCTCTCCAGGTGAACCGTGATCATTTACCCCATCATTTGGTCTGAAAAATGTCATTTAATTTAGTTGTCTTTTCATCTATGATGGTTAAGGACAGAACAGATAAACACACGCACCATTAGGTGGCAGCAGAGCTGTTAAAGTGCTTCACTCTCTTTCTTGAATTCCTGCATGTATCATGGTGTTGTGTTCAACTAAACAGGACGTGAGTGAGTGATAGTTGTGTTTGATTACGTATATTTTTGTGACATCGTGTTTGTCAGTCGCGGTCAGACTTTTCTCATGTGAAATATCATGTTGTTGCTCAAAGAAGTTTGGAAATCTTACGCTAACATACCAGTGGCCAAAACCCACAAGTCATTGTCCATGTCCAGTCTGTGGATGGACGACTGTTGTCAAGACTGGATCAGTGAAAATGACTAAAGCGTTGAATGAAGATGAGCTTCTTTTTCTGTATAATTTATTTATAAATTGCGATGTAGGAGGCTCTCTTGGCAAAATGATCAAATATATCTCTTCAGTTCTACAGTCCCGGTGTCTTCATTTACATAACTGACATTTACATGTCATTTTAAATGCCTTTGAGTGAAGCCTGTGCCGTCACTTGAAACCAACCAAATGATGCTGCACAAAAGGAATGTAGAGTAGAGTTCACAGGATCTGCAGCCGTGTGGTTAACGCTGACTTCATCAGAGCCACCGTGACGGCAGCGTCGCATCTGTCTCAGATGAGCAGATGTTGAGGAATGACTTAGTCAACAGTCAGTGATGATGAGTCAGCAGCGTCGTACGTTCACTTCCAGAAGACGCGCTGACAGACGGCTCTCTCACTCCACTGCCTGTTCCTGGAACTTTTCAGATCCAGTCCAGGATGTGATTTCACTGTTAGGCATTTCTGAAACAAGTCCCTCATGTCACCATGTCACACTTGGACATGCTGCTTAAAATGATCCAAAAATAGTTTGATGCTTTTCCTGGAAGAATTCCATAGAAGTCTTGGTGAAAAAAACTCTTGTTGTTTGTTTGTTTGTTTCTTAGCGTCATTTATTATCTTCTTGTACTCGTTTTATACTTTAACTTTCTTTTCAATCGACCTTTTACCCTGACCCTCCATTCTTTCCGTCTGTAGGTATTTTACTGGACGGCGGTGATTTGCCGTGGACGGTACAGTCAGTGAATCACCTGTCTCTGACAGGAAGTGAGGCTGTGCCGTCTGCAGCGATCAGACCGCGGTGTCCGGTACTGTACGGTGTCACAGCCCGTTTACTGTTTAAATCAATGTCACCCACTGGATCCCGCCCCTCACTTTTACCCTCAGATTACACCTCTGTGTGTTTACTCTGAACTGGTCATTTCTTGCTTTTTTTTTTATACTTGAATTTGAACCCGTGGCTCATGTTAAAAGGTCACGATCACGACCTTTCCTGTAGCATGTGATGCTCCACATGGATACATTTCCTTAAAAAAAAAGGCGTCGTTGTTTCAGAATGCAGTGGACGTGTAAATGGATTAGACCAAACCCTGGTCTCATGGTCAGACTTCTGACCACAATCTCTCACCAATCGTTGTTTGAAGCCAAAGGAAGATCATGTGAATCTTCAGCACGTTGGTTGGTTTCATTGATTTCCTTGACTTTAATGTGTTGTTTGTACTTGAAGTCTTTATGGGACAAAGTTGATTCCTTTCACCAGTGTTGACGACACATTAGAACAGGAACAGGTTTCAGGTGGTGTTTGTTGACTCCTTCAGTGCAGCTGAGGACAGACTGATCAGGTTTGTCTCTTTGTCCTTTGTTTGTTCTGTGAACGTCTTCAGAATAAATGGACTAAAGTTCAGCAGCCTGGAAAATCAGTTAGATCACAGACTGACAGGATTCTTTGTCAAACAGTGAAGTGCTGGTCTTAAAACAAAGTATTTATTATCTGTTACTATGACAACACAGTTCTGTCAGAGTCGGAGGAAAAGGTTACTGTTGTGATTGGAGGAGATGACGGTTTGTAATCTGAGTTACAGATTCTAGTCTCAGAACTACGACTCAGCCAGTAATAATAATGTGGCTCCTCTGGGGCTCTGACCCAAGACCTTTGGTACGTAAAGCAGGTGTTATAACCGCTGCACCATCGAACCACCACCATGGAACTATTAGTAAATAATTGGATTCAATGTTTCAACCAGTCGATGTGATCTCTACTAGTTAGACTAAATAAATAAACTCAGATTGAAGTCTTTATTAAAATCTTTTTTTCTCTTTTAAACCGTTGAAATAGAATTGAGTTGAAAACCTAACCAGGCTGAAAGAAGAACTCCCGACAGTCCTTTATAGAAATACTTTTTTTTTTTTGAGCTTCATCTTCAGCAGCATCTTCACCGACGGCCTGGAATGTTCCAGAGGCCTTTTTCATTTTCACTCGCGCTGTGTTTTCCTGTGTCTCTGGAGTGAATACCTTCTAACCTCCGCCCTGCGTGATGCCACCCTGTCTAGCCTGCTGGATGGTGACCTCACCCTGAACCTCCGCCGCTCGCTCATGTGTGACTGAGTGTGTGTGTGTCTGAGTGTGTGTGTGTGAGATCAGTTCCATTTGTGTCTGATAAACTGACACTTGGTTTCTGGAGGTTTGTCACCGGGTTTGTTTGGTAAGTTGACAAAAAAAAAGGGTTTATATGTAATAACTGTGTTGCATTTTGGTGTGAAGACCCTGTGACTGTGGCGAGTACAAAAACGCTCACCCTTAGTCAGACGTAATGAAATCGACAAGTCCTGACAGAGTGGCTGCGATTTCCAGAATAATTCATATTGTTTAACGGCAGTATTTATAAGACGGATGGATTTATAAGATGGATTTTCCCAGAGGAAATTAGTCTTTGAACAATGTTCATTGATTTGTCCAAGGAATATTTAGGAGGTCGTTTCCGCCGTCGGATAGATTTTTTTTTTGTGTCCGACCTTCATGATTTCAAACTTGTCATCGTGTCGTGTGGGTGGAAAAGAATTTCTGTTGAGTTCAAATTCATTGTCTGTGTTTTTTTTTTTTTGCTAATTGGAGTTTTTTGTGATGCTCTGTGATCAGGTCGTGTTATTGCTACGATTTACCTTCATTTCATACTTGAATTTATGTTTATCTCTAAGACGATACGCTTGAATTTCCTTTACATTCATGTATTTAGCAGACGCTCTTACAGAGGAGGATTAACAGTCAAGCAGGCGGTTCCTCTGGGATTCGAACCCAGGACTCTCTGCTTCCGAGGCAGGCGTGTACAGGCACCAGGCACCAGGCGTCTGAGACGCTGCTCACAGCCACAGCGAGCGGAGCAGATGGACTAATTATCCTCCTTCGTTCGTCTGCTCGTTAGTCTCGTGGTGTTGAAACTGAACCCATTTGTTCTGTCCAGATATTGAATATATATCGTAGTCCCGTCCCAGCATCCACCGGGGTTTGGCCTATTTGACTGAAGGCATGTTACTGTCACAGGGTCCGATCTTTCCCAGCAGCCACTGCTCTGCCTCATTGATCTGTTGGACAATAGCTGCGTGTTTCAGGGTCGACGCTCCTTTCCCTTTTATCTCCTCAGCTTTTGTCTGACTTTTAGGGCAGGCAGTTTTCTCCACATGAAATTGACTCCTTCACACACACACACACACACGTTGCTAAAACATTGGCTTCTTTTCTTCTTCTTGTTCTATGGAGTCTGTTTTGTTTTTTTTGCATGTCTAGCCTGTGGTTATTCTGACTTTTCTGCGTTCAGACGTCGTCGTCGTCGTCGTCGTCGTCGTCGTCGTCTTCTGTGATTCTGTTCTCTTCCAAGACGCCACACTGAGCACCGCGTCACTTTTGCTCCTGGCGACTCTGTTGTTGTGAAAGAACCGTCGTATCGGCTTTCGCTGTGACCTCATCACTGCAGTGTCTCAGAACACATCGTACATGCATTAGCTCTTCTTTTACTGTCAGGATGATGAAGAGTCTCAGAACAGACCTTCAGGCTGCAGCGTCAACGCCGGTTAGGTTGTTGTTTTTTATTTGTAATCTCTGCTTTCTTTTATCTTATTTATCTCTCATTGATACAGAAATATTCAGTAGAAATAATTTGATTTATTTTATTCAATCAAATGAAAAATAAAAAAAACATGTATTGTTTCCTCCCACAGACAGATCCGTGTGACTTCTAAAAGTCGGTGGATTCTCCTTCTCTGAACCAGGAACTTTTTCAGAGCTAAAAAATGTCTGTCATTCGTCCACTTTGTGTTCTGATCCTTGTGGTGAGATTACATACAGGGCTGGTACTGTTGATGGAACTGGAACAAGTTCCTGTGGTTACAGTACGTCATGTCTCATCGTGGCAGGTCTGTGATTCTACACTTCTATATTAAAAATTCAAGAATAGAATTATTATTATTATTATTATTATTATTATAAGTAGTAGCAGCAGTAGTAGTAGTAGTAGTAGCAGCAGCAGCAGTAGTAGTAGTATTTGTAGTATTAGCAGTAGTAGTAGTAGTATTTGTAGTATTATTACCCATCAGTTCTATAATAATATTCCCCACGTTGACGTGACGGCGGCTTCAGCTGCAGACGTGGAGCTGGTAAATCAACTTCCTGCCGGTGCAGCAGGTGGAGGAGCTGTTTGGTCTCATGAAGCAGAGAATCCAGGAGATTCAAACATTCAGACAAACACGGGAGCTGCAGCTGAAGTGTTTACCAGCCGGGGCGGACGAGCAGGAGAGGGGTCAGCAGGGGGTCGTAGACCAGATTACTGCTGCCGTGGTCACTGCTGGGAATCACTTCAGTTTTTCCTCATTCACGTCTGACTAAATATCTGGTCGTTGATTCAGATTTATTTTATTTTTTTCTGAGCAGTTTCTGATCTTCTGTCAAATCTTGACCATGAGTTAATTGGACTCAGTCTTCACCTCGTCTTCCTTCCTGTTTGCCTCTTCCTGTTGACTCATCTGTGAGTCTGAGGATTTGCTGTAGCAGAGATTGAAATGTAAAATATATCTATTATAGTTTGTGGAGGTGAGTCAGCATCGCTCAGGTTCTGGTCTGAGATTAAATATAGACGAAGAGAAAAGAGGACAGTAGGAGGAAATAAATAAAACTGCAGCCAGAACTTCAAACCAATGATGATGTTGTGGAATGTGAATTTAAAAAAAAAAAGATGAAAAATCCCCAGCACTGCCATTTGTGTTTTCTATTTTATGGAATATCTTCTGTGGTACGAGTGACTTCTTCCTGTCTACTTCCTTCCTTCCTTCCTTCCTTCCTTCCTTCCCTCCTTCCTTCCTTCCCTCCTTCCTTCCTTCCCTCCTTCCTTCCTTCCTTCCTACTTCCAGCTTCCTAAATGACAACAGGACCTGACGGTGAACGTCTTCGCTCCAACCTCAGTCATCAGGAGGTTTGCTGAGATTCTTGACCTCGAGAGAAAGTATGGGGCAATAAGAGAGAAGTTAGCAGCTATAACCCCCCCTCCACCCCCCCCTTGTGTCTGGACAGATAAATTCTGCAGCTCCGTTAGTGTTGAATCCATGGTTGTATAATCATTTCCGCGGTGTCGTATTAGCACCGACGGCTTCAGCAGCGTGAGGAGCCGAACAAACACCTTCACTCCTGTGTGTGAACACATCTCACATAGGAACCAGATTCTGAATGTCAGAGTCAGGGTCAGAAGGCAGCGAAGAAGAAGAGGGGCTGCCTCTGTCCCTCAGCCACGACCTGCAGTGACCTCTGACCTTTCACCTCTGTCCAGCACAGAGAAGATCAGTGTTTCCATTGAACGCAGACAGGAGTTCCTGTGCTGGGAACTCTCACTTTTTTTTTTTTTTTTTTCCTATCTTTAGTTTCTTTGCGATACAACAGCTCTGTTCACAAACTCAGATATGCCTTTAACTGCACCCCCCAGCCCTGCAGGTGGTGCTGTTTTCATAGTGTTTTCCAACAGAAACTGTACAGCCCTGTGACATCATATTTTAATGACACATTTTTTAAACTTCTAGTCTAACACTTTGAATCAGAGTGGGAAAAAATGACACATTTCAACAGCAGAAAATCCAAAATTTTAAATTCTCTCCTGTGCTCAGCAGCTGGCCCTGAGTTACAGCTGAAAATCTCTTTACTGCCTTTTCCCCCGTCCTGAGAACACGTGTCAGCCTCGGTCTTAGTGTAAGGACTGGGTCAGAGCTGAACATGTCCTCAAAGAACCGTAAACCTTCACTCAGCTCTGAGCTCTGTGTCCGTTCAACACGTTTTCACAACCTCACGCTGCTTTTCATTTGTTTCGTTTTATCATAAATAAGAACTATATGTTTGTAACACGTTGATGAAAAACGGACATGTTTTCTCTGTTTGTCATTCAGAGCGATTGTTGTCTCTGACATTAGCTCCAGCTGGATGTTGGTTCAAGCTCGTACGGTCGTGTTTATTCGGACTCTTTCCTTCGTCTCCAGCAGGGGGCAGATGGGCGGGTTTTATATAAAGGGATGACTTGCTCGATGCTGCAGTCTTTTTTTTGTGTTTTTTTTGTGATGCGTGACAACAGCCTGACTGTGCACACTCAACTGATCTGAGTTCAGTGTTAATGATGTTTAGAATCACTAACCTCTGTCTCACAGTAGAGTTACTGCAGTTAAAGCCAACATTCTCAGACTTTTTTTCCTCAGAATTCCATCATCTGGTCCGTTGTGTCTCTGGTATTGTACCAGGACTGTGACCGCTCTGTTTTGCACTGGTACTTTACATTTTCTTTTTTTTCTTTTTTAAACTATCCACCAACAAGCCAAGTCATTCAGCCTCACTGGATCTTCACATCACTGTAGCCAATCTTTCTTCAGAGAGGGAACAGAGAATCACGTGATTAAATGTGTTGTTTTTGTAAAGATGACCCAACCTGACCTCTGACCTCTGACCTTTTTGCAGGTTTACCCACAGACCCTTCCACACCGCCTGCCAAGATGGTGGCGTTGTCTTTAAAAATCTGCATTCGCCAATGCAACGTTGTGAAAACGATGCAGTTCGAGCCCTCGACGGCCGTTTACGACGCCTGTCGGATCATCAGAGAGAGAGTCCCCGAGGCTCAGACTGGACAGGGTGAGAGGTCCACTGCTCATCTACATTAGGATTAGGAAAAATATGACTTTTTTATTAGTTTGGCTTGTCCTGCGACTTGTATTCAGAAGCCAAAAATGTATCCTTTATTGCCTCTGGCCACAAGAGGGTGCAATTTACACTCGTGACAATTGAAGTCCGATACTGCAGTAGTCAAGTTACACGACTAAAAAAATATAGAATTATTTAATGAAGAGAAACTGAAACATGTGACCAAAAAGAAAAAGCACTAAAATGCTACAGAATATAAACTTTTATAGCAGATTATAATAAAATATATATAAAGTTTGGAGCCAAATATAAATGTTATTTTGATGCAGAAAACAAACTCTGGAAAAATGTTATATTGATGCAGAAAACAAACTCTGGAACTATGTCATTTTGATGCAGAAAACAAACTCTGGAACTGATGAGTTTTTTTTTGCGTTATTACATCAGTTCTATGATTTTTTGTTGCTGACTTTGATGAAAACATGTCATCAGGACTGGATGTTCTTACCCCCCCCCACACACACACACACACACACACACACACAGACACACACACACAGCCCCGACACTCTGTACATCAGTGGAATCTAGATCTGTATAAATAAATGCTGATGATTCTCCTCGCTGCTCCAGCCTCAGACTACGGTCTATTCCTGTCCGATGAAGACCCGCGAAAAGGCATCTGGCTGGAGTCTGGACGGACACTGGACTACTACATGCTCCGTAACGGGGTAAATATAACGGCACTGACAGCACACGCTTCTGAAAACTCTGTGAATGAAGTGACGCTCCCGGGGAGACGAGGGTTTCTCTCGGAAGAACGAGGTCAAAGGTCGAAATGAGCATTTGACAAAGTCACTGTAGCTGAAACCCTGAGGAGAGACGTGCTGACCTGGAACCTTCTGGAACACACACACACACAGTCACCCGCTGTGGGAGACTGTGTGTGTGTGTCAAAAAAATATGTATGAAAAATACTGACCCAGATAAACGTATGACCAGAACCGCCTTGAGCTGACCGACCGCACGGTCTGTGATCATACGATGTTACGACAACATGGACTTCAGCGTCTGAGCCCAGATGGTTCTGGAACCACACTGTCGTGTTTTCTATCTGAAGGTTTACTTCACTGGGATCTTTTCAGTGACGGAGGAAATGAAAGTAAAACAAAACATTTATGTTTTAAAGTTTATAATTCCTCCAAAGTCGAGGAAACATCTGTGGGACGAAGGTGACGTTTAATATCAGTCAGATGTAAATCAACACACGCACGATAGTTTAAAGAAGAAGAAAAAAAAAAAAACAAGTGTAAAATTGGATTTGGTGAAAATGTGGACATGAAAGGAAACTTCAACTAAAACTGTTTGAAGCAGAGTTTCTCTCAGCTGTGGTGTGTGAACGGCTGAAGCTTTGATTCCTGATGTTCATATGAAGCTCCGTCTCCGTCTCCGTCTCTTTCTCCGTCTCTGTCTCCGTCCCTGTCTCTGTCTCTGGGAATACAAGAAAAGCTGGTTGTGCAGCACACACCTTAAAGTCGCCTCTTTAATATTTCTGAAGCCGTTGTTTCCTGTTTTTGTCAACGTTTCTTGTCCTTCCAGGACGTCCTGGAATACAAGAAGAAACAGAGACCACAGAAAATCAAAATGTTGGATGGAGCCGTGAAAACCATCATGGTGGATGATTCCAAAACAGTGGGAGAGCTGCTGGTGACCATCTGCAGTAGAATAGGTACGGTGGTTCACTCCGACTTCATGTTCAGAGCTGAGAGCTGACCGACACCAAGCCGTCCGTCCGTCCGTCCTCTGCTGTCACTATTACACTGTTAACTCTTTTTAACCCTTTTTTCCAACTTGTTTCCAGGCATCACCAACTACGAGGAGTACTCTCTGATCCAGGAGACTGTGGAGGAGAAGAGGGACGATGGAATGGGAACGCTGAAGAAGGACAGGACACTGCTGCGGGACGAGAGGAAGATGGAGAAACTGAAGGCCAAACTACACACGGACGATGACTGTGAGTCAACAGATAACGAAGCAGCAGCAGTAACAGCAGCAGCAGCAGCAGTTACAGCAGCAGCAGCAACAGCAGCAGCAGCAGCAGTAACAGCAGCAGCAGCAACAGCAGCAGCAGCAGCAGTAACAGCAGCAGCAGTAGCAGCAGCAGCAGTAACAGCAGCAGCAGCAGCAGCAGCAGCAACAGCAGCAGCAGCAACAGCAGCAGCAGTAGCAGCAGCAGCAGTAACAGCAGCAGCAGTAACAGCAGCAGTAACAGCAGCAGTAACAGTTACAGCGCGGGGCGGTTGAAGTTCGATGATGTTAAACTACGGTTGTGTTGGCAGTGAACTGGCTCGACCACAGCCGGACGTTCAGGGAACAGGGAGTGGATGAGAACGAGACACTTTTGCTCAGACGTAAGTTCTTCTACTCGGACCAGAACGTCGACTCTCGGGACCCGGTCCAACTCAACCTGCTTTACGTCCAGGTCTGTCGTTACGACCAGCCTCCACACGGTTCAGACCATATTTATTTGATTATTTTTTCGCTCAACAGTTTTTTTCTTTTTGCTCTTCAGGCTCGAGACGACATCCTGAACGGTTCACATCCGGTGTCCTTCGACAAGGCCTGTGAGTTTGGAGGCATTCAGGCCCAGATCCAGTTTGGACCACACATAGAGCACAAACACAAACCTGGATTCTTGGAGTAAGTTTCTGTCTGTCTGTCAGCTGCATTTTCTTCATGTCTTCAAATCTGTGTATAAAAAAAAAAAAAACATTTTATATCTCTGAATCTCTTTGTTTTATTTTTTTTTCTTTCAGCCTGAAGGAGTTTTATTTATTTTTTTCTTTCAGCCTGAAGGAGTTTCTTCCCAAAGAATACATAAAACAAAGAGGAGCAGAGAAGAAAGTATTTCAGGTGCGTTCATTTTCTTTTTTATGTTTATAATTCATAATCCCAGATAATCTGACAGATTAAGTTATGTGTAACGTCATCCACAGGAGCACAAAAACTGTGGTGAAATGACAGAGATTGAAGCCAAAGTGAAGTACGTGAAGTTGGCTCGGTCCCTGCGGACGTACGGCGTCTCTTTCTTCCTGGTGAAGGTGAGTTAAAAAAAAAAAGACAAAAACCTCGAGTTTATCTTTGTTGAGACGTTTCATTCAAAGAAAAGATAATTCTACCTCAAAGTAGAAAAAAGGAAACAGTCCGATCCCTTTGCTCCTTAAATTCTTTTCATCATTCAGAAGAAAAAAGAAAAAATGCAGCCGTCAGTTGAACTGTAGTCGCTGTCTTTAATCTGCAAGGCGTGAAATCTGTTCTGTGAACTCGGTGTTCACTGGAGGAAAAGGTTAAAGGCACAGAGCAGCAGGTGGACGAAATGTGAAAAAATGAAATATTAACCTCAACCACTTCTCTGAAGATACGTGTGATAAAAAGGAAACGGTCCAACACGTCTGTCGACGTCGTCTCTGACTCTAACTTTGCTGATACGTTTCATTTTTAACAGTTTCTGTACAAAGATCTATTATTACGTTTTATAAAACGGGAGGATGTGATGATGTCGTCGTGAAAAAAACCAACGTCCGTATCATAGATGTCACTTCCTCCCGTTGGTCTGTCTGTGGAGATTATTTAATCTGGGTCACTGAGGGTTTTTCTGCTGCTGTTGTCTGTGGAGATTATTTAATCTGGGTCTAACCTGAGGTTGGACTCCTGATGGGAAACAATAGGCTGACCTTTAGTGTTAGTACCTGCAGATGGCGATGACAGGTAACCCCCTCCCCCCCTCTCCCACCCCACAGTAGCTGTGGACACGTCCTGTATGAAGTCATGGGAAGCGTTCCTGTCTGCGCTGATAAATTGCTCTCCAGTTGTAACTTGTTCTGAGTTTAGTGCCGTGTTCCGCTCGGAAATGAGATCAACTCAGGTCGTAGTTTGAGGACAGGAGTCTTTCACGGCGTAATTGACTGTCGGCCGTCGTAGGATTAAAGCAGCTACAGCTTCACAGTTTGTAGAAAGTTCTCATTAAACTGGGGCTAATCCGGCCTAATTAAGGTCTTCACTTGCCGTTAAGTTCCGACTCCGTTCTCTCTTCATTCCTGTCAGACTAAAACACACACAGGGTTTTAGTCTGTGGTCTTTATTTACACCTCTTCATCACTACCTCAAAATATACCCCCCGAAAAGAAAAAAATCCCAGCCTCGGCCCTGGAGGCCTACCTCAAGATATTCCCCCCGGAAAAAAAAATCCCAGCCTCGGCCCTGGAGGCCACCTTGGTTTTTCAGAGCTCGTCTTCTCGGTCCATCACATTCTGTCCGTCGGTTCAGGTTCAGGTGAAAACGCCGTGAGGTTTTCATGAGGTTTGTTGACAGAGAGACGAGCTCTCGATACAGACCTCACCTTTAATGATGTGCCGTGGAGAAAAGTGTGTTTTTCCACTCTGTTAATTAGTGAATCTCTGAACAGATCAATGTTTAGAGTTTGACGAAGAGAAGTCATTAAATTAGAAGAAAAATAACCTCATAACTTTAAAATGAAACGCTCAGATTGAACCAGGTCCAAAGGTTCAGTCAATACTGTCGCTGCTCAGACATTTATTCTTCGTCTTCCAACATTTAATCCTTTTTTGGGGGAGGTTGAAACTAATCCTGTAAAACTAACCAATTAGTCACGTTGTGGCTCGGCAAATAATATAATTAATAATTAAAAGTCGTTAGACGTAGGGCCTGCTTTTGTTTATAGTCATTTTATTTCTAATTTTTCTAGGATCATGATCAATTTATATTATATATCTGAACTGAAGGACAAAAGTGAAGTTTAATTTTTGAATTGATATAAATGATTTTCCCCTGAAGTCTTGGAGAAACTTCTTTGTTTGTAGGAAAAGATGAAGAGTAAAAACAAGCTGGTGCCACGACTGCTGGGCATCACCAAAGAGTCGGTGATGAGAGTGGACGAGAAGACCAAAGATGTGGTGCAGGAGTGGCCGCTCACCACCGTGAAGAGGTGGGCGGCGTCGCCCAAGAGCTTCACTCTGGTAGGTCGGGATTTCATATGAAGTTTGTCAATCGTCCAGAACGATGTCAGGCTCACATCTTAGTTAATTAGTGACTGTTAATTAGGACATCTTATACTGTGTATGTGCTGTTAAAAAATGTAAATAATGAAAAAAATCAGAAATAGAGATCGGCTGCAGAATAAGACTCTCAGGGTTTAACCATCAGAGGGTTGATGGTACAGGCTTAGGTTAAACCATAAGAGTCTTTTGTGTGTGTTGTTATGATCTTACCCGTGTACTTGTACGTGTGTTTGTAGGATTTTGGTGAATACCAGGAGAGTTATTACTCGGTGCAGACCACTGAAGGGGAGCAGATCTCTCAGCTGATCGCTGGTTACATCGACATCATCTTGAAAAAGGTGAGAACTGAGTTTGTGTCGTCGACCTTGAATGAACACAACAAATACAGTTCATATATATATATATTTATCTATAAACTCTTCGTTCGTTCTGCTCTATAAACTCTTTGTTCGTTCTGCTTCAGTGCAGCAACAGCTGGTTTTTAGTATCCAGTCACTAATGATTATTTTCACAGTTAATCAACATCAACAGGTCATTCAGTCTGAGTGGATTTCTTCTGCATGGTATTAGGACTGACTTCAGTTTTTTGCTGCGTGAATAGATTTGAATAAATAAATACTTATCCCTGCACTTTGACATGAACATCTGTGACACACGTTTCCTTCCTGCAGAAGCAGAGTAAAGATCGTTTTGGGATGGAAGGTGACGAGGAGTCCACCATGCTGGAGGAATCGGTGTCTCCTAAAAAGTATGTCAGTGTCAACGAGCAACCGAGCAACGATCCAGTACAGTCTGAATGTAATGATTAAAGTGGCAGCAGCAGTAACAGCATCAGGGCCACACAGTTATTGTAAACCCAGTATCAGTCCAGTCCAGTCCAGTCCAGTCCCGTCCAGTTCCGTTCAGTTCAGTCCATTCCAGCCCAGTCCAGTACAGATCACTTCTGTCAATCGTCCAGTTCAGTCCAGTCCAGTCCAGTTCAGTCCAGTCTTCAGTCCAGTCCAGTCCAGTCTTCAGTCCAGTCCAGTCCAGTCCAGTCCAGTCCAGTCCTCTTCTCTTCATTTCCTCCTCTCTCTGACCTGGAGCCCAAACTCACACTTTCATCGTCTCTCGCTTCATTTCATTTCACTTCGTGGCTGAACTTTATCCTCAGAGATAATCGTCCTGTGAGGAAAATGTTGCCGCTCTGAGCCGACCAGGACTTCAGAACATTTCCTGTCTGTGAACTTTTTATCTACACTGTGTAACTCTGATCGTTTCAGCCTCGATTTATATTGGTTTTCAGCCCAAAGATTATTGGCAGATTTTCCTCCTCTTTACTTTAATCGTGACACACAGGTTTTATTTCTGCACGTCTTCAGGCATTTTCAACATAAAGAAACAGTGTTTTTTACTTATTTATTCTTAAATAAATTAAATACATTTTGTTAGAAAAAAAAAGTTTGTTAAACTGATGTTTTTGTGTGGACGACTCACTGTTTACACCTGGTTAGGAACATCCATCCCTAGATATTTGGTGATCCAGTTTGACCTTTGTGTCTGTCGGTGACCCGCAGGTCAACGATCCTTCAGCAGCAGTTTAACCGCGTGGGTCGGGCGGAGCACGGCTCTGTGGCGCTGCCGGGGGTGATCCGCTCCGGCTCCATCGGCACAGAGTCACTCAGCATGGGCAGCATGCCAGCACCACAGCAGCAGATCACCATGGGTCAGATGCACCGAGGACACATGCCCCCGCTGGTAGGGTCGGCACTGCACTTCATCGTCACATTTTCCTCTTAAATATAAAGAAAAAAACCTGATTTATTTTGTGTTGTTTTCCTGCAGAGCTCGGCCCAACAGGCTCTGATGGGAACCATCAACACCAGCATGCAGGCAGTGCAGAAAGCCCAGATTGACCTCGGGGAGGTTGACAGCCTGCCCCCTCTGGGCCAGGACATGGTACTGTTGACACCTGTTATAACTGTTGATCATGAAGTTAACCATGAAGGAGGATGAACTCGTGTTCCTGCTTCTACACAGGCGTCCAAGGTCTGGATCCAGAACAAGATGGATGAATCCAAACATGAGATCCACTCACAGGTGGACGCAATCACTGCAGGAACGGCGTCCGTGGTCAACCTCACAGCTGGTCAGTCAAATCACTGACAAATGAAAAATACACACAAAACAAATCAAAGAGGTCTTTCACCTCAGACTGTGTTGATGGATCTACAAACATGAAACTTAAATCAAAAATCAACCTCTCGGTGAAGGCAGTAAAACAGAAGGACAAATTCATTTTTGTTTCCTTCTTCAGTCAGACTTCAGTCACAGCGGCTGTTTTTATTTTTCCCTCCTCCTTCATCTCAGGTGACCCCGACGACACGGACTACACGGCAGTGGGCTGCGCCATCACCACCATCTCCTCCAACCTGACGGAGATGTCGAAGGGCGTGAAGCTGCTGGCCGCACTGATGGAGGACGATGTGGGAGGAGGAAATGACCTGATGAAGGCTGCCAGGACGCTGGCCGGAGCCGTGTCCGACCTGCTGAAGGCCGTGGAGCCCGCCTCCGGAGAGGTGAGAAGGACTGGTCGTAAAAGCTGGAGGACAAAGATTAGTTTTCCTCCTGTGGATCTGTGGGGGGTTTTATGCAAATAATGTGAAGATGCAAATGCAGTTGAGTCTGGAGAACGCTGGACTCTCCTCCATGATTGTGTCTTGAACGGCAGAATGACAAATGCACACAGTGTTTGGTTCTGCTCAAACAGACGATCTTGAAACGTTAATTATATTTTCTGCGGAGCTGTTCGTACCGCGGCGTCTCTCCAGGTTCTTCTAATTACATCTGATTGTTCCAACATGCTCCTCGTCTAACTCGATTGTCCTGGTCAGTCTGAACGACGACCTCAGGCCAACGCCGAGCTGAAGCAGATTTACTGGACAGGGATTTATTTATTTATTTATTTTTACAGATGACGTGAACGTCGATGTTCACGTGTTTGTGCTGCAGCTCCATCGTGTTAACAACGTCAGAGCTGGAGTGTCGGTTTAATAATCTACACCACGGACAGGGTTCTGTTGCCTCTGGACAGAGTCTACATCTGAATTATACATGTAGTTTCTTATCAATATGACATGAAGGCAGTGCTGAGGTGCTGTGGTCCAGACAGAGGCGGAGCTTCTCTGCCTGGACCCATGTTCAAGTCCAACTACTGCATGAACAACAGTACTGTTTCATTGTACTGTTAAATTGTTCAATTTTGAGTCGGCCATTACATGCTGCCAAAAAAAACTGGAAATTTGAAAAAATGCAGTTGTTATGGTATGTTGTATTTTTAATCATGTTTTTTTTAATTATAGATGAAATAATATTTTATAGTGATTGAAAAAAAAACAACTTTCAGGACATTGAAATCAGTCCCATGGTGTAAGGACTTAATAGTTAAAAAAAAGTAAAACCAGCACCTCCTGTAGTTTGGTCGATGTGTTGACATCATGGTTCAGAAATCTTAATGAAATACAGATTAACTACATTTCCTGCAGAGCTCGGCCCAACAGGCTCTGATGGGAACCATCAACACCAGCATGCAGGCAGTGCAGAAAGCCCAGATTGACCTCGGGGAGGTTGACAGCCTGCCCCCTCTGGGCCAGGACATGGTACTGTTGACACCTGTTATAACTGTTGATCATGAAGTTAACCATGAAGGAGGATGAACTCGTGTTCCTGCTTCTACACAGGCGTCCAAGGTCTGGATCCAGAACAAGATGGATGAATCCAAACATGAGATCCACTCACAGGTGGACGCAATCACTGCAGGAACGGCGTCCGTGGTCAACCTCACAGCTGGTCAGTCAAATCACTGACAAATGAAAAATACACACAAAACAAATCAAAGAGGTCTTTCACCTCAGACTGTGTTGATGGATCTACAAACATGAAACTTAAATCAAAAATCAACCTCTCGGTGAAGGCAGTAAAACAGAAGGACAAATTCATTTTTGTTTCCTTCTTCAGTCAGACTTCAGTCACAGCGGCTGTTTTTATTTTTCCCTCCTCCTTCATCTCAGGTGACCCCGACGACACGGACTACACGGCAGTGGGCTGCGCCATCACCACCATCTCCTCCAACCTGACGGAGATGTCGAAGGGCGTGAAGCTGCTGGCCGCACTGATGGAGGACGATGTGGGAGGAGGAAATGACCTGATGAAGGCTGCCAGGACGCTGGCCGGAGCCGTGTCCGACCTGCTGAAGGCCGTGGAGCCCGCCTCCGGAGAGGTGAGGAGGACTGGTCGTAAAAGCTGGAGGACAAAGATTAGTTTTCCTCCTGTGGATCTGTGGGGTGTTTTATGCAAATAATGTGAAGATGCAAATGCAGTTGAGTCTGGAGAACGCTGGACTCTCCTCCATGATTGTGTCTTGAACGGCAGAATGACAAATGCACACAGTGTTTGGTTCTGCTCAAACAGACGATCTTGAAACGTTAATTCTATTTTCTGCGGAGCTGTTCGTACCGCGGCGTCTCTCCAGGTTCTTCTAATTACATCTGATTGTTCCAACATGCTCCTCGTCTAACTCGATTGTCCTGGTCAGTCTGAACGACGACCTCAGGCCAACGCCGAGCTGAAGCAGATTTACTGGACAGTGATTTATTTATTTATTTATTTTTACAGATGACGTGAACGTCGATGTTCACGTGTCTGTGCTGCAGCTCCATCGTGTTAACAACGTCAGAGCTGGAGTGTCGGTTTAATAATCTACACCACGGACAGGGTTCTGTTGCCTCTGGACAGAGTCTACATCTGAATTATACATGTAGTTTCTTATCAATATGACATGAAGGCAGTGCTGAGGTGCTGTGGTCCAGACAGAGGCGGAGCTTCTCTGCCTGGACCCATGTTCAAGTCCAACTACTGCATGAACAACAGTACTGTTTCATTGTACTGTTAAATTGTTCAATTTTGAGTCGGCCATTACATGCTGCCAAAAAAAACTGGAAATTTGAAAAAATGCAGTTGTTATGGTATGTTGTATTTTTAATCATGTTTTTTTTAATTATAGATGAAATAATATTTTATAGTGATTGAAAAAAAAACAACTTTCAGGACATTGAAATCAGTCCCATGGTGTAAAGACTTAATGGTTAAAAAAAAGTAAAACCAGCACCTCCTGTAGTTTGGTCGATGTGTTGACATCATGGTTCAGAAATCTTAATGAAATACAGATTAACTACATTTTATTTTACCAACGCTTCTCACATAAACAATTGGTTGAAAAGCTAATTGTGTGTGTGTGTGTTTGTGTGTGTGTTTACAGCCCAGACAGACCGTGCTGACGGCGGCCGGCAGCATCGGCCAGGCCAGCGGAGACCTGCTGCGGCAGATTGGAGAGAATGAGACGGACGAACGGTTCCAGGTAACGCTGCTCTGTTTATCATTATTACTGTAGAGTCCAGGACGAGACGGTCGCTCCAACCACAGCCCATTAGAGAGTACATCATCTTTTTTTTTTTTACATCCTGACTCGGTGTTTTCATTTGGCATAAACACTCGGTTCGAGGCTGACTCTTAACAAATGGTTCTTGAATCTGATTTCTGTAAAAATGACAGCGTTCCTCTGGTTCTGCAGGATGTCCTGATGAATCTGGCCAAGGCTGTCGCCAACGCTGCCGCCATGTTGGTGCTGAAGGCCAAGAATGTGGCCCAGGTTGCAGAGGACACGGTGCTTCAGAACCGCGTCATCGCCGCTGCCACCCAGTGTGCCCTGTCCACCTCCCAGCTGGTGGCCTGCGCCAAGGTAGAGCAGCTGGTGTTTGGACCAGTGATGTGAACGAAGAAGGAATTGGTTTTTATACAAATGCTTGAATAATCATCTGTAAACGGAGTGTTTCAGGTTACACTCAGGGCCCCTGCACCATAGCTTGTACACCACCCTAATCACTTTAAATGTTCTCCTGGCTGCCACTCTAAACATCACCCTCACCCTCACCCTCACCTCCCTGCTGTCAGGGTGATGAACATCATCTCTGTCTGAAATCTTCTTTTTCACTTCCACCTGTTCTCAGACTGCTGCTGTGTTTATGTGTAGGTTGGATGTCGTTTATGACTTTAGGCGTGATTTATTTGTTTGGTTGTTCTTCACTTTTCTGCAGATAGATCTCTCTCTCTCTCACACACTCTCTCCCTCTCTCTCCCTCCTCCTCCACCTTCTGTGTCGTAGGCCCTTAAGGCCAAATTTACCCTTTGACAGAAAGTCCAGTGTGATGTTGCTCTTCATCCTAACACTCAGCTCAGGCTGCAGTAACTGAAGCTAAGTTTGGCAGCTCAGCCTTATGCCTCACCTCACCGTAATGTTCCTGAGAGACAGGTTGTGTTGAATGATGGGTTGATTTCACAGACAGATGTTTTGTAGATGTTGTATAGCCGTACAAATATAATATTTTAAGATAGTTACTGGACCTTACTTGGATCCATTGACAACGTACAGTAAAGGCAATGTTTCCAGTAGAAACAGCAAACTGTTGAAACTATTCAGGCCCATGTTCTGATTCCGTTGTCAGTTCTGACCTTTCAGATATTTTTTGGCCAATTCTTTCCTTAAATACAGTACCAGCCAATCATAAAACGTCTATTTAAGGGCTACTTCACAACAGCAGCTGGTGATTCCCCTTCATACGGACCAGAGTTTATTTTCTTGATTTTAATCCACTTCACATGTGCAGGTGTCACAGCTCATCCAAACTGTGATGGAGACCTAACTAGCAGACCCAGCTCCACCTGAAGTGAGGTTCACTTATACTGGAAAATTCGGGGAATTCCACCCTAAACGAGCAAAAGTTGTTTTCTTATGGTGTGCAGTCCAAGCCCAACATTAGCTCACATTTCCATGTGTGCAGCAGGCTGTCTCACCCACATCACATCCCAGTCAGTGCTGCTGCTCTGAAGACCAAACCCCAGAGGCTTTTCTCTCACTTCTCTCTCACTTCTCTCTCTCCTGGTTCTCCACTGTCTCTCACCCCACTCTGATCTTCATCCACCTTGGCGTGCCCTTTGCTTAATACAGCTTCATAAGCTCTCTGTGTGACGCCGCAGCTCTCACACACAGAGCACTATCATCAGCATGTGCTGCAGGAGAGGGGAGACAAAGACGAAATATCAATCTTTCTCTAATGTCCAGGAGAGATGGTCCGTCAGGCTCGGGTCCTGGCCCAGGCCACCTCAGACCTGGTGAACGCCATGAGGTCGGACGCAGAGGCAGAGGTGGACTTGGACAACTCCAAGAAGCTGCTGGCAGCTGCTAAACTCCTGGCTGACGCCACGGCCAGGATGGTGGAGGCAGCCAAGGTGAGCAGCATGTTTAACGATGTGATGTCATCAAAATAAAAAAATGTATGTATGAATGAGTTACCATCTTTACACCAACTGTGTCAGCCCTCAGTGCTGCGATGTCCCATGTTTCCCTAATCCTAATCCTACATTTTCAATATCAGTTATTTTCACATTCATGTTGCTTTGATGGGTGGCCCCTGCGACCCGGTAACGAATAAGTGGATGAAAATGGATGGATGGAAATTTTTCCAAAAAAAAATTTTTTCAAAAAAATTTTTTTTCTAAAATTTTTTCAAAAAAAATTTTTTTCTAAAATTTTTTCAAAAAAAATTTTTTTCTAAAATTTTTTCAAAAATTTTTTTTTTCTTTTTTGAAAAAAGATTTTTTTTCAAAAAGTTTTTCTTTTTTTTTGAAAAAAAAATTTTTTTTCAAAAAAAACAAAAAAATTATTTTCTAAAATTTTTTCAAAAAAAAATTTTTTCTAAAATTTTTTCAAAAAAAACTTTTCTAAAATTTTTTCTTTTTTGAAAAAAAAATTTCAAAAAATTTTTCACAAAAAAAATTTCTAAAATTTTTTTGAAAACTTTTTTTGAAAAATGTTTTTTTTCTAAAAACCAACCCCCCCAAACAGGAAGGTTTTCAAAAAATTTTTCACAAAAAAAATTTCTAAAATTTTTTTGAAAACTTTTTTTGAAAAATGTTTTTTTTCTAAAAACCAACCCCCCCAAACAGGAAGGTTTGGGGGGTTGGTATGGTGCAGTGTGATGTGGGTGGCTGCCCCCGGTAACGGTAAGCGGATGAAAATGGATGGATGGATGGGTTGCTTTGATGGGGAAACTTCACCTCATTCCTTCTATTAATGAAAAAAAAACTCATTTTCAAAGATCTGCTCCTCCTCTCACTCCTTTGTCGTCACCGCTGTCACAGTCTGTATGAACTGATGAAGGGCAGCAGCTCATTATTGCTGCTCTTTTTCCCCAACTTCCTCTTTCCAAAGTGTTTATCTGCCATCCCTCAGCGTTAGTCTCATTATCTGTCAACACAAGCTCACGCTGATATTAATAACTCCCACTCCCAGCAGGAAAATGAAATGATGCCCTCAAGCTGGCGAGCAGGGTTCCGTGCCAGACTTATCGCCGTCACAGCTGTACGTTCATCTGTGTCGGCGGAGGCTCAGACTTCAGCCTCACGTTGCCACGGAAACTGCTTAATTGAGCTGGTGCAGTGTAGATTTTGGACTTTATGTAATGTTGTACTTTACAAACGTGGGCCAGGTGATCTTCATCAGACACACACACTCATCCTGACGAACGTTTTTGACATTTTCCCGTGACGGACTAAGGCCGTGTTCTCTTGTTAGAGCCGTGTCACTCAGAGCAGCTCTGGTTAATGCTAATCCAAACAGGTCGGTCCCTTCTCGTCTTGGAGCTGGTGTCTCTGTGAACTGGATTTTTTTTTTTTTTTGTTCTCCCACAGCAGCTGTGTGGTTTAGCGTTACCCTAATGGCATGAATGTTTGGTAACTGGCCCACCCACTGCTTTGTGTAGCTGCAGGTGAAGCTGCTGACCTGAAAGTTAATTAAGCTAATAGCAGCAGGAACGGCTGCGTCTGCACCAGTAGGAGACGTGAAGAGGCTGCATCACATTAATCTGCTCACAGGAAACCAATGAAGTCTGGAGGAAAAAACAATTTCTTGGCTAAACTTTTCTTTATTTTTCTTATTTACCTTAGCTGTATTTTAAAAAAAGGGTTTTTATTAAAATAATTTCTTGGCTAAACTTTTTCTTATTTACCTTAGCTGTATTTTTAGCTAAACTCCAGCTGATTTTCGTCTTATCCTTTACTTATCATTTTTCAGCTCCACTTGGATATTGAATTATTTTTGTTATCATTTTTCAACTCCACTTGGATATTGAATTATTTTTGTTGTAGTTATTTTCTAATTACGTTTCAGCTGCTTTAGCCAATTAACTGTGTTATTGTTTTGATCATTTTTGACGAGCTTCTGTTTTTAACACTAATGGCTAACCTCCAGCTTTTATTGTTTGAACAGATGATTTGAAAACAGTTTGTATTTTTGGAGGTTTTTTGTTCAGCTGAGGGTGTGTTGAATTTCTGGACCAGTCGTCGTGACATGGATTTACCGCTGACTCGTTACACAACCTGGCAGAGATTCATCAAAACCAAACTTTTCTTAGACAGCACTGGTTCAACGACTGCTGAAAGGCAGGAAGTCTTTATGATCTTTGTGCTGTAACGTGTGTGTGTGTGTCTGTGTGTGTGTGTGTTTGTTTAGGGGGCTGCAGCATATCCGGAGAACGAGGACCAGCAGCAGCGGCTGAGAGAGGCTGCGGAGGGTCTGCGAGTGGCCACCAACGCTGCTGCTCAGAACGCTATCAAGAAGAAACTGATCAACAGACTGGAGGTCAGTGACTCAGTCAGTGACTCAGTCAGTGAGAAGGAGAGGAAACTGTTGATCTAAATAACATGGCGTCGACTCCACAGCTGACCCTAAAGGTCACCGTCTCCTCAGTTCAGTCGTCAGGATTCCGTATCACTGGTGCTCACAGTAGAAGTGGGATTAAATAATCTCTGTGTTTTTGACGGAGAAATGTCAAGCTGGGAAAAGAGACTCAGTCTGAGGGATGTTGTTGAAATTTTAATCTAAAATCTAAAATCAATACCAAAACACACTTCGCGTCGTACCTTATCACAGGAACAGGTGCAGTGATAAATGAGATTAAATGGATTTATTTTCACTGAAGATAATGTTTTCACTTAAAGGAAGAATTTTTACAGCAAAAACAGCGTTTTCACTTTGTTAATATATACTATGTATATAGTTACATATAACTTATTGACATCAACCAGAGATGCAGAAATATCTATAAACAATTTCACACTAAAATGTCATTATTTTTTAGTCAAATGTAGTGAAGTTACCTAAATCAGTGCAAAAATAAACTAATAGTTATCTAGAAGAAATCCAAGGTGAGCCTTTATATAACAACACAACATAAGCTTTATAAAACTTAAAACAAAATAATGTAATTTTAGGCAAAAAAAATTAAATTAATAAAACAATTTGTAAAAATAGAGTGAGCAAGGTCACAGCCTGAATAATTAATATTTAGCCAACTAAATGCCAACAGTTAGCCCAGAGTGAAAACATAATACCCCCCTGTAGGTGTCACTGAAGACGACTGTAGTGTCGTCCCTGACTGTGAGACTTTGAAGATGCCAGGTGAAAAGTATTTGCTGTAAAGTGAGACTCCTTTGACTTCACGCCTCCTCCGTCCTCGCGTGTCTTTGTTTGCACAGAATGCTGCCAAACAAGCTGCAGCCGCAGCCACACAGACCATCGCTGCGGCTCAGAACGCTGCTGCGTCCAACAAGAACACCGCTGCTCATCAGCAGCTGGTGCAGAGCTGCAAGGTGAGGTGGCCTTTAAATGTGCTCCTCTAAAATGTCTTCTACCATCTCACCGGTGTGTGTGTTTGTGTGTGTGTGTGTGTGTACAACACACACACTCGGCCGACCACATGCCGCAGCTCAACCAGGGAGTGCGTGGCAGTCAGGCCAAACCAGAGGACCTCAGCGCTCAGCTCGCTCTCATCATAGCAAGTCAGAACTTCCTTCAGGTGAACGACAACAACAACACACACACTCACACACACACACACTGCTCTCATTGCTAACTTACACATAGTAAAAAAAAAACCCTTCAGTTCTACTTTGAAAAGTAGGATGAACCAAGTATAAATAGTGGCTCCTTCAGCTGGGACCATTAAAATAGTCCTGCAGCCTATTTTATGACTGAAGCAGGCTGTAACCAAACCAGGGTTTAATTAATCCTCTGTATGAATATGTATTTGTTGGATTATTATAATAATCCAGAAACTCTTGTTCAGTTCCTGTTTCCCTGAAAACACTTTTCAAAAACCTGATTTGAAATACGTTCTCTTTTAGAGATGACAGTTCAGATATTTGTCGGTTAAAATATAAATGTACTCCTGACTCCTTACAGCCCGGCAGTAAGATGGTGACCTCGGCCAAGTCCTCTGTGCCCACTGTGACGGATCAGGCTGCAGCCATGCAACTGGGTCAGTGTGCTAAGAACCTGGCTACCTGCCTGGCTGAGCTGAGGACGGCAGCCCAGAAGGTAGAGCACAGACACAGACACAGTCACAGACACAGACACAGACACAGTCACAGTCACAGACACAGACACAGTCACAGACACAGACACAGACACAGTCACAGTCACAGACACAGACACAGTCACAGACACAGTCTGAGATCAGACTCACATTTCCCAAAACAACACCAGAAAAAAAACAAAAAACCATCATGTCTTACTGTTGGACCACCTCTGTGGAAGAAACCATTCAACTCAAGTGTTTCCCAAAACAACACCAGAAAAAAACAAAAAAACATCTCTGTGGAAGAAACCATTCAACTCAAGGAACAGGATTCAAATATACATTGATTTATTTCTAAATAATACATAATAATACCTACAGATGTATTTGTATGATTATTCCAAATATTTTTTGATGTCTTTACAGTTGTCTTTTAAAGATGTTTAAATATAAAATAAAAGGATTTTTTTTTAGCTGATCTTGTACAACATATTTTTGAAATTATTTTATTGCCATTTCAAAGTAAGAACTTTTTTTTTTTTTCCCCATCAGGCACACGAGGCCTGTGGACCCATGGAGATCGACTCGGCGCTCACTGCCATCCAGACCCTGAGGAACGAGCTGCAGGACGCCAAACTGGCTGCAGCCAACGCTCAGCTGAAACCACTGCCAGGAGAAAATGTAAGAAATTCAGTTTCACCCGTCACCGTCAACTCAAGCTTTGTATGGAAAAAAAACAGTTTTCATCTTCTCTGCCTCAGCTGGAGAAATGTGCTCAGGACCTGGGCAGCACGTCCAAGTCGGTGGGCTCCTCCATGGCCCAGCTCCTCACCTGTGCAGCACAAGGAAACGAGCACTACACAGGTCGGTTCTGCTAAGAAAACAACACTGAGCCAGTGTGTAGCCCGGGGAGTTCGAAACCACAGCCATATCAGACGAATACAGGAAGTGTGTGGAATATAAAACCACGTCCATGCCCCGGGTGCAGAAATGTTCCATTACACCACCATGAATATTTATGAAAGTTACATTATCACAGCTTTTCTCTGTTCCCCCCACAGTTTTCAGCCTTTTTTTCTGAGTTTCTGATGCAACTGCTTTAGGGAAACGTTAGAGGAAATGTAATGTCTGACACGAGTGAATCCAAAACTAAAACACAGAAAGTTTTCTTTTGGTTTTAGAAGTGAAATAATTAGTTTTAGAAGCCTGTAAAAATGTATAGACCTAATGTTTTTAGGATGAGATTCACATGGAGGAACGTTTCCCTCCTGGTCCCTCATGATTGATGTTAGACAACCGGGGGCCTAGTGCTGTGATTGACAGCTGTATTGTCCAATGGTAGCGTTCTAACACGGCTGTGATCACTGATGTCACCAGTCACTCCTCGTCCCCGTCAACGTCTGGTCTTGTGTTTAGGAATCGCAGCCAGAGAGACGGCTCAGGCCCTGAAAACTCTGGCCCAGGCGGCCCGCGGTGTCGCTGCTTCAACCACGGACCCCAAAGCTGCGGCGGCCATGCTGGACTCTGCCCGTGATGTCATGGAGGGGTCCGCTCTTCTCATCCACGAGGCCAAGGAGGCTCTGGGTTCTCCTGGAGACGCTGAGAGTCAGCAGAGGCTGGCACAGGTGAGGTTTGGAGGAGGGTTCCTCACACTGAGGTGAATCAGGGATGAGCTCGTCGAGGCTGGTGCTCATTCATCTGCCACTGTTCTGTTCCAGGTGGCTAAAGCTGTGTCTCACTCCCTGAATAACTGCGTCAACTGCCTGCCTGGTCAGAAGGACGTGGACATGGCTCTCAAAAGCATCGGGGAGGCCAGCAAAAAGCTGCTGATTGACACGGTGAGTTTGAAAAGTCAATATAACATTAGGTTCATAATTATTTCTAAAATGGAAGTTTTATTCAGTTTTTTTCTTTCTTTCTTCCCTACAGATCCCTCCGTCCTCCAAGTCATTCCAGGAGGCTCAGAGTGATTTGAACCAAACTGCCGCAGACCTGAACCAGTCAGCGGGCGAGGTGGTCCACGCCTCCAGAGGCTCCAGCAATCAACTGGCAGTGGCTTCTGGGAAGTTCAGCCACGACTTTGATGACTTCCTGGACGCAGGGATTGAGATGGCCGGACACACTCAGGTGAGTGCGGCTGCAGGTTCTGATCTGGTCCAGACGACGTCCTCCACGTCAGTGTGACTGTATGAGACGTTTGTCCTCGTCTGTAGAAAAAGGACGACCAGGTGCAGGTGATCGGGAATCTGAAGAACATCTCCATGGCCTCCAGTAAACTCCTGCTGGCTGCGAAGAGCCTCTCTGTGGACCCAGCGGCAGCGAACGCCAAGAACCTGCTGGCTGCTGCTGCCAGGTAGTCCACAGCTGGTTTTATTTTTATATTTAATTATTATTAGAAACATGTTTATAGAACTGTGCTTTGGTGATCAAAGAATGTTGTCTTATAAAACCACCAGCCTGACAGTGAAGATGATACAATCTGATCCATCAGTATAAACTGTACCAGGTGAACATTAAACTGCTGACAGTAATCAGTACCATGTGTTGTATCCATGCAGTACTAGTTTTAGACGGTTGTAAACGTTTACTTTTACTAAATCATGTAACCTATTTAAAAAATAAATAAAATGATCAGAGTGACTGTGAATCACTGGAACTGTTCCACAATGGTTATTGTTTAAAGGTCATTCCAACAGTGCAGGTTCTTATTATTATTATTATTATTATTATTATTATTATCTTTGACAATCTTTTTTTTTTTGTCCTCTCTTCATGTTCCAGAGCGGTGACGGACAGCATTAACCAGCTGATCACCCTGTGCACTCAGCAGGCTCCTGGCCAGAAGGAGTGTGACAATGCCCTCAGAGAGCTGGAGGTAAAACAAAAAAAAACAAAAAAACACCTCTTTAATAACAAAGAAAAAAACAGACTTTAGTCAAAGGTGTGATGAAATAAGACTCCTGGTCAGTGACTCATCCTGCTCTGTCTGTACACAGATGTATAAACTCTTCTCCCACGGTGTTGTCTTTCAGGCTGTGAGAGGAATGCTGGACAACCACAACGAGCCGGTCAGTGACCTCTCGTACTTCGACTGCATTGAGAGTGTGATGGAGAACTCCAAGGTAGGTCTTTCTAACGGTCGCTCCGTGCAGACCCGCTCGGCTGAGCGTCTTCTGACTCCGCGGCGTCTGTTCAGGTCCTCGGTGAATCCATGGCAGGGATTTCCCAGAACTGTAAGACCGGGGACGTGTCGGCCTTCGGAGACTGTGTGGGATCAGCGTCCAAGGCTCTGTGTGGCCTCACTGAAGCAGCAGGACAGGTGCACTGGACGACCACGAGCCCCATCCCACAATCTTTTATTTTCTATTTTAAATCATATTTAACATTTGTTTCTGTTTCAGGCCTCCTACCTGGTGGGTGTGTCCGACCCCAACAGTCAGGCCGGACACCAGGGGCTGGTGGATCCCATCCAGTTCGCCAAAGCCAACCAGGCTATTCAGATGGCCTGTCAGAACCTCGTTGACCCAGACAGCAGTCCATCACAGGTAAATCATAATTACACCTGAGAAGAACACATGGAAACACTCCCAAACTCCCAACTGTCGACTGTTAATGAATAACAAACAACAAGACAGAATCATGACGTGATGATTTATCAGCTGTTTTAAAAGCAAATACATTTTATTTTTATACTCTTGTGTATGAGGTATTTAATGGTTTTATATTTGCTAACATTGATATAACTATCACTGTGTGGTAGGATCCTGAACCAAGTTGTAAATTCACCAGGTGAAAAACTGGTTCAAACAAAGTCAGGACCAAAGAGTCTCTGTAGAAAAAAAAAAAAATTTTAAGAAAAAAATCTAAAATCTAATCTACTGCTCTTACATTAACAATAAATATTAATATCCCTGGAGTCATTTCTTGTGTTGAGGTTAGAGCTCTCCAATCTTATTAGTCTGGTTATGAGACTGGCACTAAAGTAAGAATTTTAATATAATATTTTATCTTTGTTCAAACCAGTGTGTTGTCCTGCTGTAAAGACCTGTGGTTTTTCTTGACTATGTCAATCATTCATGTTTGTTTCCTTGTGTCGCGGCAGGTTCTTTCTGCCGCCACTATTGTTGCTAAGCACACGTCAGCGCTGTGCAACGCCTGCCGCCTGGCCTCCTCCAGAGCCACCAACCCAGTTGCCAAGAGGCACTTTGTGCAGTCGGCCAAAGAGGTGGCCAACAGCACGGCCAACCTGGTCAAAACCATTAAGGTAGGAGTTTTACTGTTGTTTAAACACTGAAGCTTTGGCTCCGTCGCCAGCTCTGCTCTGGTTTCACTTTTATAATTGAATGTGTAATATTTACAGAAAGGCAGGTTTATTCTCAAAATACACTATTTTCTTTGCTCTAATTGAGTCAGAATTTCCTCTCTCCGTCTCACCACGCAGGCTTTGGACGGTGATTTCTCAGACGAGAACAGACACAGGTGTCGCGTTGCCACCGGACCTCTGATTGAAGCTGTGGAAAACCTGACAACGTTTGCATCCAACCCAGAGTTTGCCAGCGTCCCTGCGCAAATAAGTGCAGAGGTATGAAACTTCAAAACTTTTTTTTTTTTTTTTTTTTTTTATACCTGTTGGCCTCAAAGAGAAGCCTATGTAACATTAGGTGTGCGGTCCTAATGTTTTGACTCTTTCCTGAAAATGTAGCTTATTATTGTATAAATAATACATAGGTAAATATTTAAATATTGATTCATCAAAAATGTGTGTTTTTTATTTTTTTATATTTATCTTTTACAAGGTAAATATTTAAATATTTTTTCATAAAAAATGTGTGTTTTTTATTTTTTTATCTTCATTGTTTAGGGCACTGCTGCTCAGGAGCCCATCCTCCATTCAGGTCGCTCCATGCTGGACAGCTCCACCCACCTGCTCAGAACTGCACGCTCATTGGTTATTAACCCCAAAGACCCGCCCACCTGGTCCATTCTGGCTGGTCACTCTCGCATCGTCTCTGACTCCATCAAGAGTCTCATTACAGCCATAAGGTCAGTAAAAAAAACCCTCATAACTCAGTGACAACAGTTTTATTTTCTGTGTTTGAGTAAAGAGCAGAGCAGATTTGAAGAGTCTGGGTGAACGTTGACATCTTACTTTGGAAAGTTTTTATCTTTAATCTTCTCATTTTAGTTTTAAAGCTCCAACTTCCATCTGTATAAATCACTGTGAAACCGAACCTCGTTCTTGAGAAACGCTGCTAAAATCCAGCAGCGCGGAGGTGACAAATACTGGCTGTCAGAGCTGCTCCCCAGCTTACATTTTTATTTTCATCTTTTACACCTTTATTCCAGTCCTTGATCTGAACAAAAGCGTTGCCTCGAAGGAACTTATTCCAAGTGTCAAACACACTGAATTCTAAGTTTCCCGCTCGGCTCAGAACATCTGCACATTAGTATTCGGCCTGAGGCGACTCTTCATCTCTTTTCTCCTCCTGCCATTATCACAGTCCCTCTTTAAGACTGCAAATTGAGTAGCGGGAGGTTGACCAGGGTCTTTGGTGTTATTTACTGATATGCTGGAGTGTCGGAGAAACTTCATCTGCCTACTGAATGCCAGCCTTCTTACTTTGATTTCTTTCATTAAACACACAGGTGAGGTTTTATTTTCCTCTCACTTTCACTGTGACACTTTGCATAGAAATAGATGCTTAACTAAAGTCACTCGGCCCATGAGGCCGCTGCTGCAGAGCACTCTGGGGTTTCAAGGCTAATTTAGCTTCCTGGCATGATGTCGCTCTTTGGTGATGAGACCCTACGGGCAACGGTTCTGCAGATCTGACTGGAACAAAAATGAGACAAGAGGGGAGAGGTCTTCAAGATGTCCCAGATTTGTCTATACAGTCATCAGTTTTAGTCACACTGACGTCAGTTCCTTTCTTTCCTGTGTGTACGTCTCCTTTTTGTCTGCTCCATATGTCTTCCTTCATCTTTTCTCATTTTGTTTCATGACATTTCTTTTTTTCTGCTCTTCCCCTGTTCTCTGTCATTCTCAGGGACAAGGCCCCGGGCCAGCGTGAGTGCGACTCATCAATTGATAACATCAACAAATGTATCCGGGACATTGAACAGGCCTCTCTGGCAGCGGTCAGCCAGGACTTACGCTGCAGAGATGACATCTCACTGGAAGTAAGCGTCCATCAGAAAAACCATGTGTGTTTTAATGAGGACGTGTGTTTTCTGTTTTAAATTGATTTGTTTTGTGAGTTGTTTTTTTTCATGCTCATCGAGACACTATTCTTTTTCTTTTAATTCATTGAAGTAATACAAAAAATTCATTTCTTTTTATTCCCTTCTCTTCAGGCGCTGCAGGAACAGTTGACGTCCACTGTGCAGGAAATTGGCCACTTAATTGACCCCATTTCTACTGCAGCCAGAGGCGAGGCTTCCCAACTAGGACACAAGGTATATTATATAGGCCGTGGAGTTAATGACTTCAGTGCTGTGGAACTGTGAAGTGGCATTTAGTGACACTTTCCATTGCTGTGCAAATTATAAACAGACAATTTCTATTTACATACACTACATCAGTGGGTTTTATTTCAATTTGTCTGCATTTGTTTTTTCCTACTTTCTGGACGTCCCGCCCATCAACAGTCAACCATTTTTGATCCGTTTCCACATCTCTGTCGTTGTGCTCAGGTGACCCAGCTGGCTCGTTACTTCGAGCCCTTGATCAACGCCTCTGTTGGAGTGGCGTCTAAGCTGAGGGACCACCAGCAGCAGATGACTTTTCTGGATCAAACCAAGACCCTGGCGGAGTCTGCTCTGCAGATGCTCTACGCCGCCAAGGAGGGCGGCGGGAACCCCAAGGTCTGCTGCGTGTTGATGAACTCAAGATTCTACATTACTAATTCACAGGAACTCAGTAATTATTCGATCGTTATCTGCTGATGTCATTTCTCACCTTTCATAGGCCTCCCATACCCATGATGCAATAGTGGAGGCAGCGCAGCTTATGAAGGAAGCGGTGGATGACATCATGGTGACACTGAATGAAGCCGCCAGTGAAGTGGGAATGGTTGGAGGAATGGTGGAATCCATCGCAGAGTCCATGGCCAAGGTGACGCTTTAAATCATACGTGTCAAACTCACGGCCCGGGGGCCAAATGTGGCCCGCCAAGCTGTTTAGTAGTGCTTTTTTTCCACTGTCTCTGAAACACAGCTGAACAACACACTGTTCCTGTTGATGGTTCCTGTTTGTGTGTGAGTTTAAATACACACACACACACACACACACCTGATAAATGAAGTGAAACAGGATCAAGAGATAAATAAGGTTTAGTTCCTTTATTTCTGTTTTCTTAAATTTTTTAGTTTAGGTTTTTTTTTGTCGTGTGACAGTGATGTGTGGATTTTCCGGGTTACATTATGTGGTGTGACAGTGATGTGTGGATTTTCCGGGAGGAAAAAGAGAAAACTGCGTCTCGTTGTCTGCACTAAAATGCTGCAGATTATCTCTTATTAATGCAGACGACAACGCTCTGAAGCAGCGGAGACTCGACCTGTAGAGCAGCACTTCCTGTGTAATTTACTGTGTTTTTCTAATTATCACTCAGAGAATTTGGCAAACAACAGAAAGGCTCTTTATCTGAGGCACAGGCGGAGAATAACGTCAACCAATTACAGAGGCATTCATAGAAAAGGTGAAGAGGGAAAGAAAAAACAAAAGGACCGGTCCAGGAGAGCAGCACGGTCTGCTGTCGCTCTAACCATGTGTCATGGAGAGTTAATTAAAAAGGCCGACTCTGAACCTCTCAGTATGAGTTTTAAATGAGGTTCAGACGTGAATCCTCCTGGACTTAACCTGAGTCGCCACCTCAGAACCTCAGCTGCCGCTCAACTCAACTCAACTCAGTAGGTGACGCGTACGTCACGTACCGTCAGCATCATTAGTCATTTTCATCATCCGTGTGTGTGTGTGTGTGTGTCTGGCACCTCTTCCTGCTGCCGCACAGATGTGTGGAGAACGTTCTAATTTAGCAGTGACACAGAAAGCAGGTGATGAACAAATGTTTCTGTTTCTGACGCTTTAATTACACAGTGAATTTATTGGATAATGTTTAATGGCTGTTTATCTTTCCAACTGGTTATTTGGATAAAAAAACAACCAATTATGTCGGTTTACAGATTATACAATATCTGCACATGTGGAGATGTTTCCTAATTAAAGGGAAACGTCAGCTGATGAGCCCTGTGATGATTGGTCTTCATGTGAGGAATGGGTTTCTATCTCATCTGAACTGGTGCACAGCTGCTGTTTACAGTGTGTGTGTGTGTGTGTGTGTGTTTCAGCTGGATGAAGGTACACCACCTGAGCCCGACGGCTCCTTTGTGGACTACCAGACCAGTATGGTCAAATACTCCAAGGCCATCGCTGTCACCGCTCAGGAAATGGTAAATTCTTACTTCAGTTTCTGCACTGTTTGCACCACTGTAGCAAATGTTCTAGGAGCTTCAAATCCTTTAATAATAACAATAATAATATATTTTATTATATAGGTGTCTTTCTGTCACCCAAGGACACCTTAC